AGTGTCCAGAAAAGCACTATATAAATGTAAGTAATTATTATAAATATTATTAATCAGTAACAGGCCTTCTTGATACGTTTTAGTTAAATAGAATTCTACAAAGTTCTACAAAAATTATTACTATGTTCAAATTACAACAAGATGAAACTATAACCCTTTTAGAAATGCATTAATTATTTCTATTTTTCAAAATTTAAAATATTTTAAGGTTCCTATACATGTTTGGCTGCACATATACAATATGTTAAGCAATTGTATCAAAACCAAAATATACTCTTAGAGCTATTCTAGTTCTAAGTAGTTTAAATGTGTACTTTACTTTTTACTTCAGTACATATTTAGTTCTGTATCTGTACTTGTACTGCTTTATTTTCCTTAGTCACTACTTTATATGTTTTTTTTTCTGTCTATAGTGATTGGCTAAATAATATATAATCTGTCCCGTGATTCTCATCCAGTTGAACTGTGTATAGAAAAATACAACAGACAGACATCAAGACACATTTATAAAGGCAGCAAACCTGTAGTGTGGAATAAAATAACCAAGAAGACGCAAAATCAGTACACGCAATGACCATGATATTGTTTAGACTGCATGAAAAGATGCAAGATAATGAAAATGACAATACCCTTTAACATTAATTAAATGCACACCAGAATGTTACGTTTTAAAACACATGCACACATTGCTTGTATTCTAAGTGCTGTACTAGCATAGTTTTTGGTGCCAACTGCTAGACAAGCATAGCTTGTAAGTCAAGATTCAAAGTTATAAGCATTAACATATCATCACAGCTAGATTTTCTCTCTTACAGTAGTTTACACAGATTTCACTCTACAAGTAAACGCATCAACATGCTTTCTTCAGCTTATAGTTGCATGTCTTGTAATGTGTTCTCTCAATTAAATAATCTAACATTTTAAAGGTAAAGTCCAATAACGGCAAATAATTAAACTTACACTTACTGTATAAAGACCTGTAAAAGAAAATGCTATATTTTATGTTTGAATGGTATAAGGGAGGTATAAGAATTTTCACAGCACAATACTCACTACTCTTGAGTACTTTTAAATGGGATGTTTTAAACCCAGGCTCATTCTGAATATGAACCCCTATATACATTCTGGAGAGCTCCAAATAAGTCTCAGAAGGAGGTTCATTTTTGCAGTTTTTGTTTTCGCAAAACCACCAGAGGCCACTGTGTATGCTTTTTGAGATCTGAAATTTCATCCACCAGATGATGCTGTCAACTGACTGACTGACCAATTGACTGACCCACTCTCTTCCTTCCCTAAACAAGCACGCCCAGCCACTTTCCTAATCCCAACTGACAGTGTTTTAAAAAGCATCGATTGGGCCGCCCACCAACTTCTCTAAACCCAACTGACAGTGTTTTCAAAGTGTCTTTCAAAGGTAATTCTCACCCTGCTATTTACTTGTTTATTTAATTTTTTTACTTTTGATTTTGTCTTACATATTTTCTAGACCGTTCTTCACCAGACTTAAACCCCGTTGTCGTGGTCAACTCCACTCCATGTGACAAGTCCGCCAACATACACGGCGAGCCACTGGACAAACTGGTAACAGCGGAAAAGCCGTCCATATAGAGGTTAGCTGGCAGGCGCAAACCGGTACGCCATCATATCACCCCATAGCATTAATTTTAAAGATAAAATGCAGCCATATGTACCTCTGGCTACATAATTAGCGATTTCCAGAAATTTATATAGGACTACGTTTTCAGTATGAGGCTATTTTTTAATCATACTGCCCTACATGGAAAGCAATAGTACTTTAATTGAGTACAGTTTTTCAGTACTCTTTCCACCAATGATCACCACTAAGAGTTAATTTCCACACGGTTGCACTCTGAAATGACATTCAAATACAGTTTAAATACTTGTAAGTTAACGCTTGATCACACTGCCTCTCAAACCAGCCAAAGCTGAAGTTCACAGCAGAGTCATTCATGACTTCTGAATCAGCATGAAGGTGAGTCCCAATAATTCCAAATCTAGGCTTAAGAAGCAGATGATTGAAACTGCAGGCCAAGGATTCATTAAAATGGGCATTCTTAATTATGGCGTCCTTTAGCAAATTAAAATACCGTTTGCGCAAGGCTCCCCCGATTAATGAACTTTTTTTCACACATTTTCATTCTCTTTCTCATCATGTTTTTTTTTCTTCTTTTCTCTCCTCTACCCAGTGAACTTGCCACACTAATAGGTTATGAATAATTCTGTTTCAGCTTAGATGGCAATTAGCCACAATGCTAGAGGCGATCCTTCTTCTCCTGTAGAGGTGTAGGGATTTACGAATGTCAGCGAGACAAAGCACACACACACACTTTTCTTCGATTTCTAAGCAATTACAAGGAGAATCTTCAAAACAACTCGTATTGATAAAAGCAGGCTGTTAACATCAACACCACCATCAACAAGATGGTGTGATTTGTTCATATTTGGTTGTGTTTCTCCAGCTGAAGGCGCTGAAAGAGCTGTTCTTTATTCAAAGAAATGTTTATTTCCATCAGGCCTTCTGGGGCTTTTCGCTGACTTCCAGCCTGTCTTATCAGCTTTCCAGGAGAGAACTATTAGCCTGAGGACCACACTTTCTTATTTGTTCATTTTAACAATGGGCTGAAAAATGATGAGGTTCCTTATTAACGCCAAGCTGCATCTCAGAGCGGTGGACGGAGCTTGACATGCTCAGGTATTGTAGGCTGAATGTCATTAGGCCAGCGGCTGGTAATAGTTATAAAGAGAGTGGAGAGTGAACATGAGCGTCTGACGGGCTTGTTTTAGACTGATAATGAGATGCTGTTCAAGTAACAGATGAAATAACCCAACAAGTGTCAATCATGACAATGACACAATAAACAATTGCAATGTTTCGGGTGAAATTGGAAATTAGAAGTCATCTTTTTCATTTGGTATTTCAGCTTGATCTGCTAAAACTAGATATAAATCAGAAATATTAACTAATAAAGACTATTTAGTAATGTTGATTCCTCATAAAAACTGGTAAGCATACATATTTTGTTTTTCATCTTACAATGTAGTTTAAAATCATACTGTACACTGCCAGACAAAAGTCCTTTCATTGATCTTAGTTGTGAGAGCAACACATAATAACTTGACTTCTAGTTGACCATTTAGAAAAGTGGCAGAAGGTAGATGTTTTCAATAAATCATCTGTTGAACTGCATCCCAATCATCACAAATACTGCAGAAGACCTGATGGAACCCACACGGACCCAATATTCTCACAAAAATCAGTCAAGTTTCGTGAAGCAAAAATCATGGTTTGGGGTTACATTCAGTAGCGCCCCTTCTCATACTTCAGCCTCCACATCATTTCCTGAAAGCAAAAAAGGTCAAAATGCTCCAGGATTGGCCAGCCCAGTCACCAGACATGAACATTATTGAGCATGTCTGGGGTAAGATTAAGGAGGAGGCATTGAAGATGAACCTATATAGTGTATTCTTAGCCATTTCAAATGACTTTATTCATTAGGTATTTGACTCATTGCAGAAATGTATGGATGCAATTGTCCAAGATCATGGACGTTATAGACAATATACATTTTTTTCCACTGCACCATGACTTTATATTTTTACTGTACATTAATTCTGTTAAGTGACAAGACATTGGTTAACTAACATAATCTAGAGGCCTTTGCCTTTTATATAAGCCACTTTTGATACTAAATGATCAAATAGAAGTCAAGTTATTATTTGTTGTTCCTAAAACTTGGATAGGCGACAAGACTTTTGTCAGGTAGTGTTTGTAAACAGATTTTTCATCTAGAGTACTAAAGAAAAGTTTTAAGTGGAGTAAAAGTGAAGAAAAAAAAATATAATATGTGATGTTGAACCACAAAACCAGTCACAAGTGTTAATTTTCAATGATATTACGACAAACTATTTGAAAATCAAGAATCAGAGGTTCAAAAACAATTAAAATTTGAAACAAATTTACTTCAAATTGAGCTCAATTTGTGCAATTTTTAATGCACATTACCAATCACAAATTGAGTTTAAAAGATTTACAACAAGACATTTGCAAAATAACTTCATGAAACATGATATTTACTTAATATTGTAATGATGTTTGGCTTAAAAGAAAAATAAATAAATTTGCTATTGCTAAAAATATACCCATGCAACATAATTCATGTTCAAGATTTGAGGTCATAATTCTAATAAAAAATACTAACAAAAGCTACAATAGCATACCAAATATTTACACTGCACTACTATCTATGCTACAATATCACGAATAATAAAAAAAATAAAATAATTCATAGATTTTTGATTAGAGAGGCATTAAATAATGCTCTAATAAGATTGTAGAAAATTTCTGAAAGTTAAGGAAGCTCTTATAAAGTGTTAGCCTAAAAAAAATGCAAAAAAAAAAAGAAAAAGAAATGAGAACATGCATACAACGATTAAAAACAAATCAGCTCTCTTTGTAATCTTTGCATTTTCATGGCCTCAGAGTTTCTCAAATGACGCCTTACAGCACAGCATGAATATAAGCAGCGAGTGGGGAAGTTCAAAGTGAAGTGTTATGAATAACTCACAAACAACACACACACACACGCTGCTTCTCTACCTCCCATTCAGAAGCTCTTATCACATGGAGACAGTCAACTCTAATGATCAGCCTATTGTGGCCCAGCAGAGAAAATACGGCAGACTTCCAAATAACAAACACAGGATAAAGCCTTTCAAAACCTCAGGCGACAAGTTAAAGGACAACGTAAAAGATTGTGGGTCAGCTTTTGGGTGCAACACCACCCTTGAGTCAATATTTCTGCCAAATGCATAATGCCAAAAGTAAATCAGAGCATATTATGGTTCACTTAATCCTGAACATACGGTTGCATCCTTGTTTATCTGGCTTGAAGATGGATTCAAATTAGCACATGCTGTTCCACATGTCTGATGAAGAGAAAGTAGAGAATGTGACATTTCTGCAGTGAATTTGTACTCACACATGACCGTAAGCAGGACGTTCCCTGATGCCAGGACGACCTTCTCTCGTGTCGCTCGGTCATAGATTCCTACATGGCATTCATAAGGGCCATTGTCTGAGATCCGCACCTCTGGGAGCCTGTAAAAAATTTAAATCACAATTACAACTACTGTAAGACATTTTTAGTTATTCAAAGCCTGGATATGAGTATTTGCTTTAAGTCAAGGTCCCCAATAAATCTTTTAAACGTAATGGAATTCACCCAAGAAACAAGAATGATTATTATATGAAACTAGATGACGTAAGTTTGAAGATGACTTTACAAAGCCAGTTTTAAAAGTGAAAATTAGGTTTTGAAAGGCTTAAAGATTGAAGGTTTTAAAGTAAGTTAGACATTAACTTTAGGGGTTTTCAGTACAATTTGTAAGTATACAAATAAGTGAAGCTAAAGAAAGTTTGATGGTTTGAAGTAATCTTAATTCAGTCAGCATTTTGCTAGCTGTGTGCTATTTTGCTTGCTTGAATTAGCATTATCCAATTGTTCATATTCTTTTTGGCTTAGTCACTTAATTAATCAAGGGTCGGATGGACGGATGGACGGATGGACGGATGGACGGATGGACGGATGGACGGATGGACAGATAGACAGATAGACAGATAGATAGATAGATAGATAGATAGATAGATAGATAGATAGATAGATAGATAGATAGATAGATAGATAGATAAATAGATAAATAGATAGATCGATCTCACCAGGCCATATCACCCAGTGCAACACTTTCTATGATATTGCTCCAACACCAAAGTAAGCTTCAGTACCCCAATCCCCCACCCCCTATCCCCGCTTTCTTTCTCCCTCTCTCTTTTTATCATCTGCAAGGTGAAAATCATTTTCTGAAAATCCAATTGCTTAGAAAAGTGAAAGCACATCTCTACACAGCTCCAAAGGAAATGATAAAGTATACAAAAGAAGTGTTTTATAATATAGACTCAAAAAAGCCAAAGGGTTCATTGTGTATTCTGCACACGGACAATGCAAATCAAAAGGAGATTTTCAGCTGCAGGTAGCAGATCAGTATTGAGAACAACTGGTCTCCTGTAGAAGACAAGAGACTGCAGTCAAGCTGAATAAACAAATAAATAAATGGACTTACTAATGTGCCAGTCAAAAGAAAAGAGAAACCACTGCCTAAGAAAACAGTTGTCTGTCTGCTGGCTCAACACATTCCCATAATGCCTCACTCCATTGCAGTTGTCCCTGGAGCCCAGCAGACTGCTGATGGAGAGACTCAGATGCTCGACCCGGTGGTCCATTTTTGTAGTTTTTACTTATTTTGTTCTGTTCCTTGTTTTTTCGTAGCATCTTTTTCTCCCAGGACTCACAATAAAACAAATAGAAGGCTATATTACAAACTGTATTGTCGGAGTATGAAATCGTTATTGCTGCAAACCATAAAAATAGATTAGAAAATGTGGGCCAAGTTTCATCTTGGATAGTGTAATGATGGTCAATTTTATGCTCTACAGAAACTTTTTTCTTGGTTTAGAGGTGATATATATATATATATATATATATATATATATATATATATATATATATATATATATAAACATTAGTTTTGCAAGACATATTTACAAAAATAAAAACTAAAAACACAAATAACTCATATCAGAAAATACAGAATACAATATACATATATTGCATTCCATGTAGCAAACAGTATGTGTGTAACATTTGTTTTTTAAATAAAAAAGTCTTAAAATGGAAACAACTTATAGAAAAACATCTCATAATGTAAATAAGTTGTCATTTAATAAGAATATGTCAATAACTCAGTTTTGACAAAAATGTCAGATAGAGCCTTATTCTAAGGTGACGATACAGTTTTGTGCCAGCGTTCAGGCACCCCTGATAATTATCATAATTGCAAGCCATAGCCTGCTGTCTTTTTAAATCAGCAATTTCATTTGGATACATTTTTTGCTTTAGAGAGATAGCAACATTTAAATTCTGACATAACATTTATTTAATCAACATATGCAATGCAATTTAAGTCATATAAAAAACAGAAAGGTGCATAAATATGGGCTCCCCAAAAGAATAATGACATCAATCTTTCGTACAGCCAGATTTTGCTGAAATAACAGCCTGTAAACCAGGGGTGTCCTGCTTAGTTTACCTCCAACTTGCTTCAACACACCTGCCAGGAAGTTTCTAGTGCTGTATATCTATTTAGGAAAGCTGTGTCTCAAATAGCACACTATACACTACGCACTCATGCACTATGTACTTATGCACTTACACACTAACACACTCAACAGCATAGTATTCCGTTTATAGTAACCGTTTTCCTGATGACGTTTAACGGTTACCAAATCAGTGAAATAAATAACCAAACTATCAAATAATACCTGCCATGAGTTTTGCTGCATTCATCATCGGGAGGCTCTCGTAGGAGAATTTCGCTTTCACTCTCCAAAATAAATAAAGTTCTCCAACACGTGCTCTCGATAGCTCCGCCCCTTCCGCTACATGAGCAAAACTGGGGTTGTTGCGTTTGTGAAGTGTCCATCATTACACACTTCTTTTTAGCAGCTGAATGGGTGCATCCTCTGGGTAATTAAAGTGCACTAGTTATTTTTAGTTTTCAGTGTAAACGTACCACTTACATTATTTATACTACAAAATGGCGTAGGATAGTGCATAAGTATGCGATTTGGGACGCAGCTAGAGTTTAGCTCCAACCCTAATCAAACACACCTGAACCAGCTAATCAAGCTCTTACTAGATATACTAGAAACTTCCTGGCAGGTGTGTTGAAGCAAAATGGAGCTAAACTCAGCAGGACACCGGCCCTCCAAGACTGAGTTTGGACACCGCTGCTGTAGACACTTCTTATAGTCAAGCATAAGTCCTTAAATTATTACTAAAAGAATTTTGGACCACTCTTCCTTGAAAAATTTCTCCATTTCAGTTAGGTTTGATGGGTGCTGAGCGGTTTTTTTTTTTTTTAATTAATTCATTTTTTTATTGATGTCTAAGCATGGGCACGAGGACGGCCATTCTAGAACATTTTATGGTCTGAGCATGAATTCCTTGGTAGACCTGGAACTGTGCTTTGGGTCATTGTCCTGCTGAAACTTCCAACCCTTGCGTGACTTCCTGAACATTGTTCTTCAGAATCTAATGATACTGGGTGGAGTCCATGCAACCTTTAACTCTTCCAGTGCCTGTGCTTGCCACACATTACAGCATGGTGGACTTCACCATATTTTGCAGTAGGTAGCAGGGTCTTCTCCTGTAATGTTTTGCTGTTTTTTTCTCAATGCCATGCTATGGTTGTGGCATCTGTATACAGTATATTTTTACAAAATGATTCAGGTTTATCCAGATGAGCTTTTGCATACCTCAAATGTTTATTTTTGGTGGTAGAATGCAGAAAGGTTTTTTCTGCATCACCTTCCGTTGAACTGTTCTTTGTGATTATTAGCAGCAAAATATACCTGGAGCTCTTTGAAGGTGGTCTGTGGTTAGTCTGTGACAATTCAAACCATTCTACACCTTTGCCTTTCAAATATATATATATATATATATATATATATAACCAACTCCAAAGATATATGAAATAAAAAAAAAATAATTAAAACAATACAATCAAGCAAAAAAAAAAAAAAAAACGTACAATTAAACTGTCACTCCGATGTATAAACAAACCTAATGACAGTAAAATAAATAAAAGACCGGTTTCAAAATTTGGATTTGATAATGTTGTAAAAGCCTCATAAATTATAATCAAAAATCTCAGTCTCTCACTGTTCGCTTCAGTCAAGCAATCCTTTAACAATCCCAACATAGTCTGTGCGTGCTTGACAATGTCCTGCTGCTCAGCCCCTTTAAAACAAGCAGAAAACAGCTAGATTGACTGAAGCCAAGCTCATTTATATTGAATGAGGGCAGCGGGTGAGTTCTCAGCATTCGTTTCATGTCTCTCTTTCTCTCTATACCTCAGATCGCTCACTTAGGCTTGATGAGCAGAAACACAGGCAGAGTTAATTGCAGTGCGTTCACCATCACGGTGACGGCAACAAAACAACGTCTGTAAATAAAACCACTCCACCGTTTCTCTTCACAGATGACTATAATTTTAACCCCCATCTAGATTCTAGCAAGAATGGACTTTACACAAATCATGTAGTTGGGTCAAAGTATAGATATTCTAAAGAAAAATAAGCCAGTAAATGTATAACATCCTCTTTTTGAATCAGGTTTGACTGGATCATTTGAATTAGTGAGTCGTTAACTAAAGGCTAACTCTGACCAATCAATTTGAATCCACAAACTACTGAGTGAAGGATAGCTAAAGCCAGACCACTTGAATCAGTGATTTGTTAACTGGAGAATGTATCCGAAATTACCCTCATTCACTATTCTCTACATCACTCCACTAATTTAAAGTACTGTAGGGAGTAAAAAACGAGTGAGCCCTGAGTGCACCTGAAGGGACGCGATTTTGCATGTGCTTTTGTGGGGGAGAAATCTCTCAGACGGATTAGATTTTGTACTTGGATCCTGATAATTTTTCTTTTTATCACTTAGCAAACTGTCTATTAGCAACGAAACCAAGCATTTTGATTTCTGTTTTCATTTTGAACTGTTAATTTAACAATTCAAACTTATAGACTTCAGACTTATAGGATTCTGCTGCGGATGCCATCTTGTGGTCAGATGTGAAAAATTCATTCAGTGCTCAAACTCAGTGCATTTTGGGTATTCTTTACCCATTGAGTGTAAATTGGTTGCACACTCGTTATTGCAATGCATTGTGGAAATGATTTAGTGCACTTCAGAATACTATTGTTTTTGGCAACACTACAAATAACTGCTCCTTCAAATAGAGTGCTATTTAACGATATATAGGGGGATATTTTAGATATACCTTGGCTCTGACCGAATCAGGAGAATCATTGAATGCACTGACTGAAGACTCACTTGACTGGAACATTTGAATCAGTGAGCTGTTAACTTGAGATTTGCTCTAACTGGATCATCTGAATTAGCGGCTATGTCTGAAATTACATACTTCCGTACTATATACCATGCTAAAAAACAGTATGCAAGCCGAGTACTTTGTCCA